AGCATCACCTAAAGCACAGCACGGCGTGTTAGAATAATACTATATACATCGTCACCGTCCATCCGACCAGATCCTGTTCACAGAATTATGAGAGGAGACCTTCGGCTAGGCCTGGGAAGTGGAATGGAGTAATTCCGTCAACTACTCAGAGAGTTACTTGGCTTCAAGTACATGACACCTTTGGCATGGGCTGTAAGTAACGGGACGATTTCGCACAAAGAGATGATATCAAATGGTAAAGGATCTCTACTAGAGACCAATACATTTACATCCACCAGAAGAGTCTAGAACTCCAAAAGACACTACCAAAGAAGCCAACGAACTTCACAGAGTGTTGTAACTGGGTTTCAGAACATGTCGTAGCCATGGGGTGATTCTCAATACTACAATGGTTACTGAAACCTACTACCCAGGATGCAACCAAGGGTTGCCGACCGAGTGATTAATTACCAATCTGGTAGAATAGCTTCCTGCGAGTTAATAGGAAGTTATCCAAAGAAAATAGATCGTTTGGGTATGGAGTTACAAAGGATCGGAGTCAGACAACCTACGATGATTGTAATGACAACCATCTTTGCAGATATAGCCGTGGATAAAACTGATCATTTTATCAATGGCGAAGACAATTGGAGTCAACTAAGTTCGACTTAAGAACTAGGCCATAAGTCTAAAGACTCTGCTAATCAGGATATTACTATTGGGGACAGCATGCTTCCTAAGAAGAAATATCGTAATTACCGAAGACAGTGTGATGGTTTTCAGGGTCCACAGGTATTCATACCTTGGAAGAAAACTCGACGTCACGAAATAAGATTGAAGAAGTACATAGTTGTATGATAAATAGATGTAGTCTGTGAACACTCAGACGCGGAATATAAATATCGAAGTACCTCCCAAGCTTTAGACATCATCAAGCAACGGAGAAGAAACCTTAACAATATAATATTGTTTTTACGATTCTACTTTACTTTACCTATTTTATTTCGCTCTTAGTAGTCATAAACGAAACGAGTAAAGTCTGAGCCTTCCTAGACAATCTCCGTCTACAGAAACGAATCTCAATTGGCCTAGACAACTTTGAAGTCTATCAAGTTGTCTCTGCCTAACATGATCCCAAGAATCCTCCTCCTGCTTGCCAAAGAAAAGAGCATCTTCAAGCCATTGCGGTTAGCAAAACTGCAACTTGGTGCTCAAAATGTCAATTACCTTTGTGCTTAAAGAACCGATGTTTTTTCGATTTTCACACTGTACACTCCTGTTCCTAGAGTCCTTATACCCTTTCTTGTACTCCAAGAACTCTACCTATTCATAACAGCAGGACAGCAAGAGCAGTTATGATAGTATGAAGCCTATCGGGATATTGGCATGGAATTGTCTTATTGTGAATTTGATATCACATTTATGATTAGTAATGCTTTTCTTGCTGGGATCTCCGGCTGCTATTTCCCGTGTTGGAAGGTCCGGAATCTGCATGTCTCATCAGTCCATGAGATAGATAGCATAGTGCCAAGAGTTCGACAGACTTTTTTCCATCACTTAATATCAAATAATATTCCATCACCAAATTGCGAGAAAACCCACCAATGATATGTGCAGGCAACTCGCATACTCATAGTAAACCTGGCCTATGAGAGCAGAGTTCGACAGACTTTTCTCCAACCCCTAGTACAGTCCTGGGCTCCCAGTGGCCAATGAGCTATCGAATGCTGTGAGAGTGGGCTCTGTCACACTTCCATCGCTGTGGGCACGAGAATAAAACCAGTGATTTCGGTGCTTGTATCATACCGTATCGTGCCCGACACCCAAAATTGTCCCACTTGTTCCCCTCGTTTGCTTAGTAATAGATATGAAAATTAGCGGCTTGGAATAAATTTGTGTGTATCATACCTCCCCCTGTCTGGAAATGCCCACCTTGCCGTTCTCAACCAATACTCACTCGATAAAAGATTGGAATCCATAAAAACAAAGAGGAGCTGATTCTGAGCAATTTTGTGCTCTCGGCCGTTGAATTACGGGGATCCCCCGGGGGGGGGTACCGCATCATAACCTGCTACTCGATATTGAATAGCTATATTTGGCATTCAATAGCGCGCCATAATCATCTGGAAACTCCTCTGACAACTGCACCTTTCGGCGTGTAAATTTAATTTATGGATAAATTTATGCCTTGCCAGAGTCGCTGTTGCCCTATATCGCTCCATAATGTATCAGTTAAACTAGTAGCCGGCAAGACGGTCTAACTATGGTATGGGGACCTTTAGATGCCAAGGATTGGCCTTGAGATTTTTTAGTTCCTCGGGGTTAACGAACTTCTTGGGTTGTTTGAATTTGGGGAGTTAACTAAACTTAGTACGCCCAGAACAGGTGAATATCAAGAGTGTTACCGGGAATGGAAAGGCTACACCTTACTTGATCTTTCTGGTGCACAAAGTTGTCAAAGCTGGTTTGGTGTCCGATGCTGGGAACATGCCAGGCAAGTTGTTAGATATCATACTCGTACCGTATCATACCGGTACTCGAATAGGCTACTCGAATGATGTCGCAGGAGGCCAATTAGCCAGCAATAATGGTTAGCTTAATAAAATCCCAAAGAAATTTTAATTAATAACACAAACCTTAAAGTCCACGCCAGTCCCTAATTATATCCTATGTTGGTTGCTGATTTCGAAACCGTAGGTATCGCTTTCATGGTAAATCACCCGGATGGGCCACGCCTTGCCTTTACTGGCTGCTAATATGAACCTATGGGGAAAGGGCGAAAAGGGGTATGGCAAATCTATCTGTGTCAATGATGAAGAGCATTTAATGATGTTACTACGGCATATAGAACTGAATTGGAGATCTGTATAACGCTGGGTGCAAGGATGCGCAGGTTGATGATCTACGCTTGTTTGTGAGTGGAGGAGCTAAAGCGGTGGGTTTACTCGGCTGCTGAGGTCACGGCACAAGAAAACGTTATGTAAAGGAGAGGGCACTGAGTAGGCTCCGTTCCTCGCCGCAATGTGGGTCCGCATCGCATAGCGAGGGTAATCTGCTTTACGCAGAGGATGAGGGGGGTCTCGAATTGGTGGTTTCATTGGCGAAAAGCATTTGGGGGCCCCCATGAGTTTATTTCCAATATCAAAAATCCGGGTTGGGTAAGGGTGTTTGGTTGAGAAATTACAGTAGTTATTTCAAGTCTGAGTTGCTTTACTCCACTTTGGATACGGAGCGTTGAAAATGGATGTAGGGTGTAACAGAGGCGATGTCTCGTTCGACAGAGTTCGGATCTTGGACGCCATGGCTGTGAGTCACCAATTTGCCCCCAGACATCATTCCAAAAAAAGAACGCCAGTAAAAATTAGGGATGCTGATATTTAAGAGTGTGGGCAGAAGGGGACGGGGATGAGGACCGGTTTTTGACAAAGATATGTAAAAGGGAAAGTTCTAGATCATCCGATATATGTTTTTCACTACGCCAATAGTTAGGGTCTGTACACCAGCTATCATATATATGATATTATAGATAAGATAGTTTGGTAACCTACACTCAAGCCCCTCCTGTGCGGTCTCTGGCAATTCGTCTGTTACTACCCCCGGACGCCCTGAAACAAGCGAGAATGAGGGAATAACGGTGTTTGGTGCTATGACAGTACCCTCTTCTATCCTGACACAATCCTTTATAATCGCGAACTTCCCCTATGTTTGGTGATGATAAATCAGTAAATTTTGGGGAAGGAAAAGCAAAAAACCAGCAATGGAAACCCACTATGACACAATCTTTGGCAATGTGAACGTAGGAGCCAATTAACGCAGCCTCAACCACAGATCCTTCACCTACGAAGACATGATCTCCGATTTTCATAGGGCAGTAACTAAAAGTCCTGCACAACAACGGCTGGTCAGCTCCTTGTACAACCGGAGGCCTAGGTGACACGTAGGTAGGTACTGGCTTTTGATGCGTCCTCCCAGGAGGTCGTAGAACGCTGGACCGAGAGAGAAAGCAGTAACGACCAACAGCTATCGCGACGTTCCCACTTTGCTGGCTCGGTGCCACTGTACGACGGAGGTCTCCGCGAATGGTGCAATCGGCTTGGATAATGGTCTTTTCTTACCCCCCCCACGCTTCCCAGTTAACTTCATGTCGAGCCAAAAGGGTATATAGATGGTGGTGGGCACCTTTCCGCCGAGAATGATATTTTGAGAACCGAGAATGACGGATTTACGGGATACTTTGTTCCCAGTGTCCTAAGTTAAGTTTTTGTTCACCGCGTGAGTTGTTATTGCGGGATTGTTTGAAGCTGTGGGCTTTTTTGAGCGCATACCGTCTCGATGTACTCCCCTTTCGTTTGTTTTGGGGGCATTGTGTTAGCTCTCGAGTGAGGGGGAGGCTTTTTTTGGGTGATGGGTGGGTTTGGGTTGATTTTAAAGCCCGGCAATCGTGGGGAGATGTGTGCTTGGCGGAAGCTACCGTAGTATGATAATATTATGATGATAGGACATCAGTTTTTCCCAGGTTCTCAAGGTACCAGTACCGTAATTGGGTGAGGAGAGAGGTTAAAGGTTCAGAAGCAAATTAGTGCACTCACAGGTAAAGAAGTGCAAGCTCTATCCCTGCATCCATGGTGATTCAGCAACATCGTAAGTCGGCCCGTGCTTAAGCGGGGGGGGATAGCAGCTCCCATCAACCTCCAACTTTTCAACCAAACCTTGACAAAAGTCTTTTCTTCTGATTTCCTTTTTCTCTCTGGGCATCAGGAGTATCTTCATATATTTATCACTCTACAATTGGCTATTTCACAGCAATCACCCAAAATGCTTCCAGTCCCACTTATCCAGCTTCAATGCGGTAGGCCTCCGATCTGTAGTCCGACTTCAGTATATTCAACGCTAACCTATGTGCGGGGTTCAGGTGCAAATTCTTATGATTGGGGTTAGCTCTCTTGAAGTTTGAATAAGTTGGAAGATGCTAATGCGGGGTAAAATTGTGCACAGGAAAGATAGGAAACGATTCTGCAGCCGCTCGTTTTGCCGCTGCAACTACTCAATCCGGCTTCAAGATTGAGGAATCAAAGCCTTATGCTGAGGTGCCCATATTACTGCTTCCTCTAAAAGCTGCTTTGCTGATGATTCCAAGCTCTGGATGGGAACTCATCCATCAAACCCATCCAAGGATGTGGACACTGGGCGTACCCTCCTAGAGCTTGTCAATAGCAATACAGCCCTCCTCTCTCACGATATTGCAGAAAAATACGGGGGAAAACTACCCTTCCTTTTCAAAATTCTATCGATCCAGAAGGCTCTCAGCATCCAGGCCCACCCTGACAAGAAGCTTGCCGAAAGACTACATAGCGAAGACCCGAAGAACTACCCTGGTATGCTCCTTAGTCGCTATTGAATAGACTTGTAACTGAAAGTTTTGTGACATATGATTAGATGACAACCACAAACCTGAGATGGCCATTGCCGTCACTCCCTTTGATGGGTTTTGTGGGTTTCGCCCTCTTTCCGAAATTGTTTCCTTCTTGGAATCGACCCCACCACTTCGTGCACTCGTTGGCGAATCCAAGTCGGATATTTTTATTGCTGCTGTTGGGGACAAGGCAGATGCTAGTGACGAGGCAACTATAGCTGCTAACAAAAAAGCCTTGAAGGATTTGTTTGAGGCCGTTATGACTTCTGAGGAGTCTCTAATTAAGAAACTGGCTGGCGAACTCGTAGAATCTGCAAACCAGCTCCCAGAGTCTTTTGGGGGAAAGGAGCATGGGGGAAGGGAATTCGCAAACTTGATAATCCGATTAGACGGACAGTTCCCTGGAGACATCGGGTTATTCTGTTCATTCCTTTTGAATTATGTTAAGCTGCAACCTGGCGAAGCAATGTTTTTGCAGGCAAATGATCCTCATGCCTACCTTTCGGGAGGTTTGTTTATGCCTCAGCAGCTGATATTATCCCGCAAGACGAGTTTACTAATATGTATGCAGATATTGTTGAGTGCATGGCTGCGAGTGACAACGTGGTTCGTGCAGGTTTCACGCCAAAATACAAGGACGTCAAGAACCTTGTCTCAATGCTCACCTACTCCTATGCTCCTATATCAGAGCAAAAGATGAAGCCAGCGCCCTACCCTCGTGGGTCCAACTCTAAATCTGGCGTTCCTACTTCGATCCTCTACGATCCTCCTATTGATGAGTTCGCTGTCGTAAAGACTGGACTGAAGTCTGGGAATTCGGAGAAGTTCCAGCCCATCGAAGGACCGAGCATCATCATTGCGACTAGTGGAAGAGGAAAAATTTCTGTAGGTCCTAAAACAGAAACTCTGGACAGTGGGCATGTTTATTTCGTTGGTGCTACAGCCACACTTGAGCTTGATGCGGAGGAGGACCTAGTTGCGTTTAGGGCATTCTGTGAGCTTGCCAAATAATTGGCCCTGTATTGCAGCAAGAAAGATTTTAAGCCAGCCTGGAGGCCGGGTTACCGTAGTAGAGCGTGTTGAGTGTCTTATCTATAGCCTAGAATTGGGTAATAATATCTTTGTGGCCCGTTTCCCCGATGCAATGTGTTGGTTGTCCGGGCCTTGACGGACAAACTCAGCCTTGTGCCGTGTAACGCAACCTACACCAGTGCCTGCGAGTGATAAATTGTGAAACTATCAGGTGCAAGTTGGCTCTTAACCCGTGTTATGGAGATGTAAACGATAGGGTATAGAACCAATTCTTGGCACATACGCTGTATGATACCTCTTGGAAAAACTCGACAGCAAATTATGATAGTGTACAGTATAAATTACCCTTTATACTATGATACGCCTTTGGGGGCACCTTCCACACCATACTGCACTATCTTCGTGGCTTACCCAGTACCGCTGTGATACCACATCAACTGACTCCCCCAAATATCCACCACATACTGTACCGTACTCTCAAACTCTAGACAAAAAAAAATAAGCCAGTCCCCAGAGCGAAAAAATTCTAAATTCGTAAATTAAAAAAGCGATAACCATAATCATAAACCTTTCCATCCGTACTATAACCACCAAACCACCATACCCGCATCCAATCCATCCTACGCATACATACATACATTATACCAACCCAACCAAGCTAACTCCCCACCAAACCCAGCGTTAAGTATCATAAGAAAGTAAAAGAAAAGAAAAGAAAAAAGGGTAATCATACCCTACCCCCGACTACCGCACGTGACCAACTAGCTAACCCCACGGTACTAGACAAGACGATACCAGATAAAAAAAACATCAATGTGAGAAACTGCAAGGTCAGGTATGGTCTCATCAAGCCTCAGCCTTGTTTTATCCATTATCACCATCATCACTGCCAAGAACAAGTGGAAGGAGTATAAGTAGAATTAGTAGAATAATAAATTGAGTTGAAAATTGAAAGTCAAGTACTCCGGGAATAAATCATCAGAAACTCCCCTCCCTATCCCCGCTTCTCCAAACTTTGCCCAGTTTGGCCTTGTTTTTTTCTCTTTCATTTCGTCTCTCCCGGGACCGTGTCTCCGTCCCGGTTCTGCAGAGAAGGGAAGTGTTCCCGTGGGCACCCGCCTACCTAGGAAATGGAGGAGCACGCCGCAAAACATGCAAGAACGGGGCAGTATATCTATCGTAGGCAAGACCTCCGTAGAAAAGAAGAAAAGAGGGGGGAGGGGGAAAATGTTGGAAAAAAAAATAAGAACAAATAAGAAAACTCGAAATTTACTCATCATGGGATGAGGAAAGTAGAGCATCATAAAATAAAAATAAAACACCGTGAATACCTTGTCTCGTTCCTCATTTACTACGTATAGGAAAGGAGCGCATAGCGTAGGAGATACCCAAGGAGGCCTTTTTTATAATAAAGACGGGAGGGATGTAGAAAGAGAGGAGGTGAGAGCCCATTATCTGATTAATCCCCCATTTGTGCTCGAGAGATATTGTATTTTATTAGACCTTAGGTTCGGGTTGCTCGAGTACTTTTGCCTCTACGGGCTGACAAGGAGCTCGGCCTTCTGGTTCAATTGATTCTCCCGGTATTGATACTCGCTCTGGGCACTCCTTGGGCTTCACGTCTCGGATTGTCTCTTCTGAGTTTTGTTTGGACTCAGTTAATAACGTGGGCTTCCGTAGCTGCTCAGTGGGACCATCGACTGCAGGGGGTGAAGCTCCCTTCTCTTGTATCGGAGACATGGGTGAAGGCATATCTGCCTGATACTGAAACAATGGGGTAGGAGGTTGGACCAAAGGCGAGCTAGGTGCAAGGGGTTGTATAGGAGGGCTCTTGGGATATATGAATTGATCCATTTGAAGAGCAACCTGTCTTTCTGCCTTCTGTCTCTCCTTCTCCTTTTCTTTCTCCCTCTCCTTTTCCTTCTCACGCTCGAATTGGTATTTTCGTTCATCGATGCTCTTCTGCAACCATCCGAATATATTCTTGGGCGCCTTTGCGTGGTTATCCTCTTCAACGAGATGGGAGGTCTCTCCACTAACGCTTCTCTGGCGGGCCGGCGGACTCCTAGAAGCCTTCCTTATCCTCTCCACAAGACTACCACTAGACCCGCCGCCATTTGGGGGTGTTGAGCTGACGGGAGGGTTCTCGAACCGTGGATTCGACAGGCGCCAACGCCGCTTTCTCTTCCCCGGAGAACTAGCAGGATTTGTAGCCGTGTCTGACTGGGAATGAGTGCTGCTATGGCTAGTCACACTTGAAGTTGCCGATGGTGTAGGTGACATTGCAGGCATTAGGGCCGAGGGTGGATTGCCTGCAGAGGCATGATTGGTTTGGGAACTCGAAGGTAAAGCTATGTCGATATTCGGCGAGCGTGGGGGTGGTGATTGTGGGCGAGGAAACAATAGTTTACTAGGCTCAAGCGCCCCATGGGAGGTCGGAGCAGGCCCATTAGGATTCGGTCCACCACCGACACCTGATAAGGATGTTGTTGAAGACTCAGCGGAATTGCCGCCGCTTCCTGGGATTCGCCTTTTTTTTAGCTTGTTGGGGGGCCTGCCAGGCCTATCGCCCTCGGGGGATAATGAGAAAAAATTCTGAAATGTCCTTTCCTTTGTGGGTGTTACGACCGGTTGTGGCTGTGCCTGGGGACTCTCCAGACTCTCTCCAGGGAGCTCTCTGGGGGGCTCTCTGGGAGCCTGTCTAGGGACCTCAGTCCTAGGCGGAGACGTGCTTGAAGCTTCACGTTTTGGTTCAGCTAAAGCGATGTCCGGAGAAGTAGGACCAACATTTTCGCGCATCTGTCCACCGATAGAGGGCGACCTCGTGATGTTCGACGTGGGCGCCAGAGTGTGCGGGGAATTAGGGCTCGGCGAAACGTCTCCTGGTGCAAAGGCCGCCGGTCGCACAGCGGGAGATCGCTTTGAGGGAAGAGTGTTACTCCGGTTCAAGCCACTACCATTAACCCCTCCCCCCGCTACCCCAACGCTGCTTACAACTGGACTACCACTAGACCTTCGGGATGTAACTGAGACATTTCTGCGTACCCCGCCGTATTTTCTCACATCGTCCGCCCCAGCACTAGCATTTGAAGGCGACCTACTGACCACTGTCTTTGAACGTCTTGGAGATGAGGGGGTAATTGGCCCAACTAGGCTAGCCTGATTTTGATCCTCGCTTCCCCGCATCCCGAGTAAGAAGTGGTCCTGGTGAGTGATAAGAAATACTAAGACCTCCTGGGACAGCTTGTATTCGCCAGGTGCCATATCGTGGTTGGGATGTGATATCAGGCCGGGTTGAAAGATGGCTGCGAGGTTACTAGCGTTCATCAGGTTCTGCTCAGCTTTGGAGGCAAAAACCGCCAAAAGGTCTAAGATGTAAAGAAGCAATTGTCGGTTGAGTGGTGGGAGTTCAGAAATAAGACGCTGGTATGATCGAATGGCCGATAAAATCTCCTGACCCTCCGGTTGGGTTACCAATGGCTCACGAAACCGGTAATAGAATTCCAGAGGAATTATAGGCTCCGGAAGTTGATTGAGATAACGCCGGAGAACATTTGCTGCATCATGGACTGTGTAGCCAGTCCAATCCAGGCCCTTTCCATACTTGTCTGGGGAATTAAAAATTGTTTGTAGGTCCTTTATCCTCTTTGCAGACCCACTCAGACGGAAGATTCCTTCAACGTCGGTAGCTGCGCAGGCACACAAATAAGAACCAAACTTTACAATCGAGGGGGCTAGGAAAGGTTCTGATCAAACGAACCTTTCTCTTTCAAAAAGACACCACACTTAGCAACCACTATAGGAACATAGCCATAGATAAATTGTTCGCCGTTGGGATCTGTAAGAGAAATTGCGACGTTGGCATATTGTATGCTTTTATGCAATGGCACAGAAAATATTCCCGTTGGGTGTTCTACAAGTAAGATCAGTGTAAGCTCGAGAACCTGTAGATAGTTTGCTCTATTTATGGACACAAGGGAACAGTGAGAAATGGGAGCGCTACCATCTTCTTTCGGTGGAGGCTTTTTCTTAAATCTTTCCCACCAGCTTGCCAGCGACGCTTTTGTCGGAGGTGAACCCGGGTGAACCCCGGGCGAGGGCCCATCCGCTGTAGTCATATTTTTCGGCACCCTATCTATTGGTCCCTTCTTTCGTTTATTCTTCCGGAACAGTTTCCAGGTGTTGAGCCTAACTGCTGTTCAAAGGAGAACAAATTCCTCAAGCACCGGCGGCTGACCACACAAGTGCTAACCAGCTAACCTAGTCGATGGCCTGAGAGGAGCCCCAAGTGAAGACAGCCTCTCCTTTTTTTTTTTCTTTTTTTTTTCTCCTTTCCCCCTTTCTTTCTCTTCCACGTACTCCTCGATGTAACCGTTGATGCGGGTCGAAAGATGATGAAGTATTCCTAGTGATGGATCGAAATGGGGAGGGAAGAAGTGGAAACGTTATGTACGAGTACGATGGGTAGGTAGCTGGAACCAGCGGCAAGCGGGAAAACAAGCAGCAACTAACGGCCCAAACCAAGGCAACCAAGATCAACAAAGATAATGTGAGGGTTTTGGGAGGGTGTGGAAGAAGCCAGATGATGCACGAGGAAGAGGTGGTGACAATCCTGTATGGATGGGTAGGGGCGTCGGTGCTATGTAGGGACTATCGATAATATGGTGCAGCCAGTGAGAAGGGCAGACGTTTGAGCGAAGGTGGGGATGAGGGGAAGGAAGAAAGGGTGGGGATGGGAAGAAGTAGAAGTACTGTAACGGGGAGATTGGAAAGGGTCGTGTCTCGGTCGGAGGAGCGCAGGAGGAGAAAGTGTTCGGTCGGGGAAAGGGGAAGGAAGTAAGAAGTAGATGGATAGAAGCGCGCGTTCGGCAAAAGCAAGCAGAAGGCAGCGACAGGAGAAAAGGGCTGAACAGGCGCAGCTTCAAAAAGCAACACAAAAAAGTTCCTGGATCTTGTCCTTCGGACACGGGAGGGGGGTTGTGGATGGCAGTGGTGTCGACTGAGTATGGCACCGGAAGGAATTCTGGACAACTGCTACCATAACGCAAAGTGAAGTGACACAATACTAGGGTGTGTGCTAAAAAAGCACGAAAGTGCTAAGTGACCACAGTTGATTTCCTAGGAGCTACTGCACAGTACTGCAAAGCACGGGTGCAGTACAGTGTTGTGTGGAGATGGAGGAAGGTGCTGACTTGGGAAAAGGAAATGGGGGAAAAAAAAGGGTGATTCTCTACTAGTAGACAGACACGAACGGAGGAGATGGTATGAGAGACCTAGGTAGGGCAGACTATCGTTGGCCCACTGTGCTACACTTTCCTGACACTCTCTCCCCCTCTACTGACTGACTTTTTTGGGCTGACCCTTTGGACCTGACGAGTGGTGATCGAGCAAGGGGGGGGGCTGCTCCAAAAGAGGAGAATAGTATTAAGAAAGGGAAGGCTAATTACTTGAGAGAGAGAGAATAATTTAGATGACCCAGCCGATCGCTGCCTCTAGGACGCGTGAGCTTATTAGGGGAGAGTAGAAAGACCTGACCAAAGGGACTCACCCCAAGCGCATGGAAAAACTTGGAACCTGGAAAAGCTGGTTCGTGGTGGTGTTCAGTCAAACAGTCTGGCAGCTGGTTGGTTTGACAGGTTTGACAGAGTGGACGCTTGAAAGGAGTTCGGTGGAGATGAGTTGAAGTCAAGCTACGTACTTTACCGGTGGTACTCGTACAAGTACAGAGTGGGGTGTAGCGGGTTGTTGTCACCATACGAGTACAAGTCTAGAAGACACCACAAGTTACTAGTACAGTACTTGTACGAGTACCTGTAATGGAACTCGCTGATGGAGTCCGAACCAAGTGCCGGGATGTGCTTCTATGTGGATCATGGCGATAGCACAAATGGTCTACCGGTAATTCCTCTTCGAGTGCCCGTTCCATGCGGAAGTTCACGGTATCATTGCACATGACAAGAGCTACCGTACTGAACACATCTACCAAAAAAATTTCTGGAGAATGATACCTTAACTACTTGTACCACATCGATTGACCTGTGACCACCCCTTCCTTGTGTCCTCATTTCTTTTTTCTGCATTTTGGAAAGTGAGATCAACAAGCGCCAAGAACCTTTCATTATTATTTTCTTATTTTGATTCTTTATATAGATTTCTATTTTCCAAGAGCTGGGTAAGCGAATTCAGGCCATTCCTTCCAAAGTTATCATAGTCAGGCTTCTTTTCCTTCTTTATTCCCTTCTTGCCAAAAGCAAAAAATAAAAACAAAAACTTTTGCCCCTTCTGCTCCCAGAGAGTCACATCGGTAGTACGGTAATTTACCAGGTATCATAGTCCTCTCCCATCGGCGTCATCGGTGTTCTGATCCTTCCCCGCCCTCCGAACCCTGACATCTCGGACAAACCCCTTCCCCATCACATTCAATCCATCAATACCGATAATTTACGTACTCGAGTACATCATAATTATTATCACACATACTATTATAGTACGTACCCTTAACCATTAGCCACTCCTTCCACCACCGCCGCCACCGCCCATCACCTTTACGGGTGGCTTATCCCCGGCACGGACCAGTACCATACATAAATTTACCTTGCTCTACGGTACTCGAAACCACCACCACAATCACAACCACAACCACCACCCTCCATCACATACAAATCATACACGCAAGACATACACACCGAAATAACAATGGACTCGTGAGTTTTACCTCAAACTCCCTTTCGCCGCCAATGTCGCCTCCTTCAATCAGGCTACCGTAGAAACTCGGATAATCGAACCAAGTGCTATGTCGTTGGAGTCGCTTCCTCTAGCAAGGTCCGGTGCTTTTTTGCTCCCTCGTGTCTCTCTCGGAAGGACTAAGCAGCTCTCTTTTCGCTGCCTTTCCCTTCTCCTAGAGTGGGGAAACTCTCGACTACACAGCACACAGCACACGGTCCGGTTGTTCGAGTTTCTACGGTACTTCTTTGCGCACGCAATGTTACCTTGCTGATCACCTCACACCCCTCTTTTATGACGGGGATTCACTCACGTCCTAGGCTCTCCCCTTCCGAACAACGTGAGTTCCAATCCGTCCTCGAGAAACGTCAAACACGAGATATTATGCAGGTGCGTTTTCCCCTTCTCGCCTAGATCTACTTTCGTTCTCCCTTTAGTGGTGGTTGAACGTCCTGTCCATATTATTCTTTTTTATTCTTTTTAATTCTCTTTTCTCCTACCTTACTGCTCATCCCGCCCTTGCGCTTTGACTGACACCCAGAGCCATGGTACCGGATCCGTTAACAGTTTTACTCCAACCTTGTCCAAAGGTTCGTTTTCTATTTGTTCACAAAAACCCTAAATTACTGGCAACTTGAGTTGTTACCCCCTATATCCGAATAAATACTAAAATAGAGGCCACGATCAACCACAGATGTTTCGATGACTGTATCAATGATTTCACCTCGAAGGCTCTGTCCACGAAGGAAGAGACTTGCGTTAGCAGATGCGTCGACAAATTCGTCAAGACTAGCGATAGGTTAGGACAGCGGTTCGCTGAACAGAACCAAGCTATGATGCAGGGAGGAGGCGCTGGTGGTGCTGGTGCGGGCTTTGGTGGAAGATAGGTTAAGGGGTTTCGGAAATCTTAGACGGGTGTTTGTAAAAAAAAACTTCATAATAATTATTATCGTATCCTGCCCCAAACAAGAACAAAAAATCCTTTTTAGGGTACGATACCCAACTTTGAGGCGTTAGTCTAGGTGCTGTCGGGAATTAATTCTCCCCCCTCTCGGACCGGTCCTTTCTATACGGTGCCAGTATGATACCAGTGGTATGATATCGACGCTCAATTCAAAAGCTCCATGGGAATTAAATCTAAAATAATGACGTACGTAGAAGCGAGATATGGCATTGGGTGGTTAGTTGTTGGCGGTGGCGAAGATGATAAAGAAGGTGAAAAGTTGAAGCTTTTCGGGGCAACGAGACCAGAGAGAACAATTCTGATCGATGAAGTAAATCGAAGATCGTGACACCTTTGAGAAATAGATTTGGTAAGTAGAAAGGAACTATTAGTCGCATGTTCTATTATGTATGCTGTCAAATCATCACTGCATCAGGCACGGAGATTTAGGAGAATAGACGGTCGCCAATTCCTTCTCACCGGGCACCCAGGATCATCCAAGAACAAACACGATAATAATAATCCTGGGAAAATTTCCAACCACGACCGCATCCTTATTTTGGAAATTATGGCTTGGCACAGGGTGCCCAGAATGCGCTTCTCTCTCGAGTTCTATGCTTTTCTGATCTTCAATAGACTATGATAAGAGAGGTAAGTATTCGCGGAGATAGCGAAATCCCGAATTGCCCACGATACCGGTACGATACGATACATATCGCAGTCTTTTTATTCTTGCCAAGCTCTACTTTTTTCTGTGTGTATTATATAAGCAAAATGAATCAGTTGTATGATACCGGTTATCATAACTCGAGCTCAGTAGGTAGTCTAACGGTGTTTGTGTTTGAGTGCTGATTTCAAGCTCCCATCACTGTACGAGTACTCGAGCGTATTATACGTACAGTATCATACCGGTGCTGGAGCCTGGGGAAAAAAAAAAGGGGGGCTTGGACCATGAATTCCACGTGTCAGTTCCACGATCTGGCCAGCCTTAACCACAAGTACCGGTACAGTACGAGTATGATACATGCAATAATTGCAGCGCTTCTAGACCACCGTTGTTGTAATTTTGCCTCCCCCCTTCAATCACCAAAAAAGGAATCCACTCTCCCTTCCTCCCTTCCACTTTTTCCCTCCCTCCGACTGTGTTCCATGAAGACGGTATTCGTGGCATCCTCGCGCAATATCCAAAATGTGATTTTTTTCTTCTTCTTATTCTTTCCCCCGATTACCGGCTATGTGCTTGTCAATGCTTACCACCGCACTGCATGGTAAAAGTAATTGCGTATGATATCGTAGTAAAAAGGGTTTATATGGCGCCGAGTTTGTGCGAGTGGATCGGCCCAGAGGTGAGGGTTGTATGCGGCATGATAGGCTTCTTATGACAATGCTACGATACTGTACCGGTATGGGAGAAGCGCTCGTACATTACACAGAGGATAGTACTCGTACTGTAAGTTATCGTGGCTTACTTATCGTACACCCCCCCCCGATTCAGGCTGTCATGGAAGCACAACTGCGAATCAGCTGTGGGCAGCCATAATCGAGCTTACAGAGCAGGCCGGAGCAAGGCTAGGATATGGAAACCTGCATCATGGAGAAGAAATCTGAACGAGAATAGGGTGGAAGAGGGGTGGTTGGTAGAGGAGGGGTCAAGAATTTTGTTTGATGCGTAAATCTACGGTACTCGAGTAGAGATTGATTATCGTTCATTTTTTCCTCTCGCCACTACCGTATCTTTCCATTTCCTCTCGCTACCGCAGGAATTGCGATTATTATTAACTTATTATTTTCCCTTTTTTCCCATGGTTCATCGTTATGATACCCTTGGAACGAGGAACCCATATACTCGAGTACTACTTGTTCCTCCAAGACGTCAGAGGGGGGAAACGTGACATCAACCACTATCAGCAGCGAGAAAGCGGATCCAAACTGCAGCTTGATTCTTCATCGTTGTCCCTTCATTAATTCTTTTCCGCTCACTCGCTCCTTGCCCCTCCCTCCTCTCTTGTCCGCAACTTCCCCGTCAACGCCTCCCTGCTTTCTCCCCCCTTTCTATTTCCATTTACTCTTCGTCCCTACCCCCTCTCCCCCGCTCTAGCTCGGTTCTTGTAAAAAGGTTACTGTCGATAGCTTATCCAGCATAACTACCCCACCACAACCCACCACCACCGCCACCCAATAACTATTTCTTCGGACCTCCATTGCCCACCCCCCCTTCAAGCATTCCGACAAATCTACCATTACCACTGGAACTATCTCCCACCGCACCCCTTTTCCTGCCGTTAATAGATTTTCTTAAGAGAGAGATTTGTTAAAAAGGAAGAGGAAAGCCGCTGTATACCCCGCGATAGCCCCCCCACCAAACATCAGAGTCACTCTTTCGGCCAATTCCCTACTCTGACAAAGAGAGAGCAAGAGAGTGATAGTGAGGATGGCCGGAGCTACTGTCGCAATTCTCTCACCAGGTGAGATGGGGTCTGGGATTGCCTGTCTTCTCAGAGCCCATCAGTTTCGAGTAATAACTAGCATCTCCGGACGCAGGTAAGCTTCGATTCCTTCCACCTGTTCATCCCTCAATCCCAACCCCATATCCTTCTCTCTCGTCGCATATCAAAAAAAAAAAAAAAAAAAAAAGACCCCAGAACAAATAAGAAAGAAAAAAAAAAGGAGCGGAATAGGGTCATATCTGATCATACATATACCCCTCACTTCCCCCTCTGCCATTGCCCCTCACTTTGGTATTCTCTCCTACTGTTCTTAACAAGAGTTCGGTTTCATTTTTAAGAGATTCCTTATCCTCTAGCTCGTATACGTACGACCGGGCCGTTGCTTCAAAAATCGAATTCGTCTCGTCAGATGTCGACTTAATCAATCAGGCCGACTTCATCCTATCCATCGTTCCACCCAGCGAAGCCCTCCCCACCGCCCGCAGGGTTGGTTACGCATACACGTATGCTGCACGTGGGAACAAGTTACCCCTCTATTACTTTGACCTCAACGCCGTTTCGCCCAATCTAGCGGAGAAGGTGGAGGATGTGTTTTCGAAGCCCACCGCGGGTGCAAACGGTGCTGTCCGGTTCATCGATGGGGCGATACTAGGGGGGGCACCGGAGTTCATGCAGGGTCCCGGAGGAGTAGGGGGTGTGTGGAAGAAGCCGAGGGTTGTGGTTAGTGGGAAGGAAAAGCTTGTTGGGGATAGCGGGCATCTGCTGGAGGAAGTGCTAGGGTTGACGTGGGTTGGTGATAGGGTTGGGCAGGCTAGTGGGTTAAAGATGTGCTTTGCTTCTCTGACAAAGGTATAACCCCCACTCACGGCCTATTTCCATTTTAGGAGTGGAAGCCTGGTCTCTAGGGTTTTGGCTTATGCAATGCTTTAGGGCTTGACCGGCCTTGCCGTCCAATCCTTCACCACAGCGTCGAACCTATCACTCTTACCGGCTTTGAAGGAGGAATTAGCAATCTTCTGCTCTCCGCTACTTACCTTTCTAGAAAGCGCTGTACCCGCCGTGCCTCCGAGAGCATACCGCTTTGTCAGAGAAATGGAGGAGATAGCAGATACCCATGCAGAAGCCGGTTTCTCCCGTGCCGTATTCTCGGGGATAGCAGATATCTACAGAGGCGTCGCACAAGATGAGGTCTTGGGGAAGGAACGCAGTGGAGAACGAAATAGAGGTCAAACGGTGGACGACTTTGCGGATACTTATGGCGAAGGGATGAGAAGGAGGGAAGAAGTGAATAGGAATGGAAATAACGGCGGAGTACAAGATGGGATGGAGTTGGAGAAGAAGTGGATGGGCAGGGCTGTGGAAAGAATGGCCGTCGATTGATTACTACCTCCAAATTTTCCTTTTTCACACTTCCTTCCTTCTTCCTCTTCCTACCCACCCCCGATTTTCTGGTTCCTACAAGCGCAAAGTAGCGGGGAGACAGCATGAGGATTCGTTGGCCAGTACCATTTTTTCTTATTCTATTCGTCTTTCTCTGATCGCTTAATTGGTCTTTTTTCCTCTGTCGATTGCGGGGGGACGTTTCACCTATCCCTTTTGATATTTTGACACTTCCCCCCCTCAGAGATCAGGTTCTCTCGTTCGAACGAAACTTCGAAGCACTCCCAAGACACAAGGAAGAGTGTTCCTTTGTGGTGCGGGAGTGTGGTGGAGGAAGGTGGGGGGGGGAGTTTTCTGATTTGGTCCGATCCGATCTCACCCAATCTCGTCCTATATTTACCACACCTCGTATCCTTGCCAGATCGGAAAGGGAGTTTGACTGTCAAGATGTAAATATCCATCAAAGCTTCTTCTGGCACTTTGGGCCCACTTCCTCCTTTCCGCATCGTGTCTGTGTGGGTGTGTGGTGATTGTTTTGGTTTGCGGAGCACGGTATTGGTTTGGTGTTTTATGTTTATCTGCTTGATGTTCATCTAATCATGTGATGTCACTCGTGAGTGACTATTTTCTGAGATGCAGGTTTGGATTATTTTATTTTATTTTTATTTTCGAGGGGTATGATAGGAGAGGGAGATCAGTGGTTGGCACTACCAGTATGGTATGTGGGGGGTGTAGGGAGGGGCATCGGACAATAATTCCATGCATTATTTATCACTCGTATTCGTATATTCCTTGGGTCTAGTTGGTTTTTTTGGTGGCAGAAGAAGGTGTGCATAGCCACAGCGCTGAGCTTTGGGAAACATCAGCCTATCTGAGCTGAATGAGCAAATCCACACTTTCTGCCGATCCATGACGAAGGGCAGAACTGAGCACTGCACTTCACTGCGCCCAGCTAACCCACACGCCGGATAAGAAGGAGATACAAAAGAAATGATTTCCGGGAGCAATCATAGGCACACCTAACGAGAGCTATGCAGTACGTAATCCCTTCCGGAAAACCTTTCGAGCATGAAGACGTACGTAGACCACCATAAGGCATCAACGACCAACAGCAACAGCGTGATCCCACGCACACCCGGAAGACAGGTTGATGGGGGCATTCCCAGCATCTCTCTCGGTAGGCAGGTAGTCGATTGGATATCATGGTATCCCAGATCCCCCCTTTAAAAGGGCGCCGGTATTAGATACCTCCGCCACTGATGAGAATGGCTACACGTCTTACCTTGGTGGTAGGATTATATGAGTGGTGTGTTGCAAATAGCCTTGGTGTCATGTGAATGATAGACAGTTGTGAGTATGGAAGTTGACGGATTCTTGCGTTTTTTTTTTACAAGCCAGCTTCATTCATTCCTTCTCTTCACCTCACACGCTGGCGCTCAGGATTTGAGTCGTGACGATGGTGTGGCGCCATGTGCAAGTAGATGCTCCCGGGCTGATGTGACGATTAGTTAGGATTATTCCTCCTCTTATTTCATACTACCACTCAAGTTACGAGTACTGCTCCAAGGGCAGAGCCTGCTCTGTTTAAACGCAAATCTAATCTTAACGAGAGTGTGAGGTCGCGGTATGATACCTACTTCTCCTGGCGTATGCTTATATACAGCACTCTGGTAAGTTACCGGTATGCAGTGCAGGCGGGTTCTAACGTCAGAGATAGCATATATCCTGTGCCTTATTCGAATACTAGCTGTGTGAAACTACGGAAGGCCCTGCTTCCATTCGCTCACGATGGTAAGCAAACCAAGTCTCAAAGGCAAAAAAGCTTAAATGGACCCCTCGTTTCTTTCGCCGTGTTCGAGTGAGATTTGCGGGAACGCAACGCACTGTTCTGTCCGAGCGCCTTGATCGAAATGCAGCGTTCAGCGGCCTTGCCGGTACCCTATCATACTCCTCTCCCCCCCCCCATCCTAACCTTCGTTCCTCCCTCTCCAATCTCCGTCAGAGCGAGCTTACTCGAGTATGATACATATTAATACGGCATGATACCTAAGACACGGGTTACTAGTAGCCAAGACAACATCCCCGGCTCAAGACCTCCAAGATGCCGCGAGTTCTGGTCGGTAGGGTGTGATTTCCCGGTATGATACCTCGTTTTTTTTTTTTTGCCCCACTGCTGGAGGTGCTATCGGTATTTTGCGGGTTTTTTTCGTACGAGTATGTGAATGGTTGCTTTCTTTTTTTGTTTTTTATTTTTTTACCGCACTTGTATCGATAGTTGTCAGGCTTCCCCTCATCAATGATATGACACGTTGTGTCGATTGCTCACGATACGATAGCAGTAGATATCGTCGTTCCAGAAAAGGTTTCAATTTGGGGAATTTTTCTTCTTCTTAGCGTTGGTTAGCGTATTTAGCTTGCGTGCACACTGGGTCCATAGAATTACCCAGATAATACTACCTGTATGATATTCTACTCCCTTTCCCTACCAATATCATCGCCGCACTCGCTGTTGTAAACCCTTGAGTAACACATACAACTCTCATCCAATCCGAGTACTGATAGAGTAATCTCCCGTTTTATGGTTTTAATTTCAAAATCCAATATTTAATTTAGTTGTGTAGTTCTGTCCGAAGCTCATTATTGAGGATTTCATGGACAGATGAGAAAGAGAGGAAGTCGTGCTCAATTCAGGTTTCTGTTACGGTCCAGCGAGTGCCAACTAAACCCAGAATTCAATAGCCAGAAAGCTAACAGGCAGATATCAGACTGATCGATTGAGGCACAGTACATGAATCTGGTTGGAAATCAAGGTATGTTTGAATGCCTCTGAGTCAAAGTTTGAAACCGAACATGTTAACATTAAATTTTTAGAGTATTGTTTTCAACTCCTCGCCATAAAAGGTTTATCATCAACTATCATGCTCGCGCCTACGAATTCTTCGTGCTTGATCTCTGTACGAGGCGGTTAATAGGAGGGAATAATATCGAGCATGTAGCCTCAGATGGCGGGATATGCGTCCGTCCACACACGACATCCGGCACAGAGATGCATGCTAGCTACTGGAAAGGCCTCATTTAATGAATAATTGATTAAGGGGAAGACCTTGTGAACTTAATAGCGAGGTTTTAGATGTATGTTAAATGATTCCTGAAAGCTTCCGTTATTAAAGGAATAATTAATTATACTTTAAGTTATACTTTGAGTACAGTACAGCCTTGGCTATATCGTGACGACCTGCAGGAGCTTTTCCGTTACCACTTCAACATTACAATTCCGGTCTCTACAACTATCTGCTACCCTACATCGAGTGAAGTGGAATAAAAAGGTGGCTGTTAAGGCTGCACAAGAGAGCAAACAGGAACTTTACGAATATTACGTCCAGTAAATATCTGAATTCTTTCTATGCTTGTGTTTTGCGATGAGTGCAGCAAATGAACGCATTGGTGATCGGAGTAAGGTTTGGGGACCTAAAGGGGTTAAAGTAGTGAATCCTTTACCCTTTTCAAAGGGTAAGAAGTTTTCCATATCATATTATGATACCAGCACTTACAATGGAAGAGTTCTTATGTCAAGAAATTATACAAGTAGAAGGTAGTTTTAATTCTGTTACACTTTTATTTTTTTTATTAGAGATGTTTTACTACCAAGATGTAATCCATTCCAGCATCAAATAGTGTTATTGTTATGGACAATGCACAAATTCATAGACATCCTATTATTAGAGAAATTACTGAAGAAGCTGGCTGCTGTTTGGTTATATTACCCCCCTATTCTCCTGATTATAATCCAATTGAGATGGCATTTGGAGTTATGAAAAAGTGGATTAAAAGACATCATTTAGAGTTTGCTGAAGCAGTTATTAAAAATGAAATGGATTTTTTTTTTTTTTTGTTATGGTTATGCAATGTCATGTATTAAGGCGAAGCAGCAAGAGGCTTTTTTAAACAATGTGGATATGAATAAAAGATAGTTATTGTCAATCGGACTATTAATTACTTACTCAGTATCACTACCCACATAACGATATCTTTTATATCCTGACTTTATCAACAAACATATTTGCTATACCAAGCAATATTCCTATACTTGCCACTGATTTGTAATAGTAAACCTTGAATGTAAGGTTCCAGGATCGGCAACTGAAACTGTTGTTTCCTCTAAATTAAATTAGCCAACGCTAAGAAGAAGAAAAAAACTCCAAATCGAAACCTTCAGAGCGACAACCTTTTCTGGAACGACAATAGAAATAAGTGAGTCATTGCAATAATGGCTTTAGCACCAACAAGACAATGTCCACTCGGTTACGACAGTACCACAATGAATCCACGCGCAAAACCCGACGCCACCGACGAAACACCGATAGAGGGCAGCAGCTGTAGCGGTGGAACGCAAAACTACCTCTTAACTCGAATCTCAACCCAGCACGTCGACCTCCCACTGCTCCTCTGCACATTCGTCTCCGGCGTCATAGACTCGAGCGTGTACAATGCCTGGACCGTCTTCGCCGCAATGCAAACTGGAAATACCATCTTCCTCTCGCTCGGCGCTTCTAACCAACCCGTCAGCAAACCCTACGGATGGCTAAAGTCGCTGGTAGCGATTAGCTGCTTCATGTTCGGCGCTGTATCAACGTACCGCCTCTCCACGCTACACAATCCCCTCACTATCACGAATGGCATCAAGCAGGGGAAGTATAGTGCGTCGAGCAGAGGCACGCTCTTCACCTCCTTCATCCTGCAGGCTGCTGCTGTCTTCCTGGCCGCGGGATTAGTCCAGGGCGGCGCGGTACCGGGGTCGAAACCGCACGCGCAGGTCAATGGTGAGGTGGGCTTTTGGGAATTGCTGCCATTGGCGTTCCTCGCGATACAGTTTGGAGCGCAGATCGCTACTTCGAGGTTATTAGGCATAGGGGAGATTCCGACTACTGTTTTGACCAGCGTGTACACGGACCTTGTCACCGACCCGCTGGTGCTCAGGAGTGGGAATATCAAAAGGAATAGGAGGTTTGGGAGCATTCTTTTTATGCTGCTTGGTGGTGAGTTACCCCAATTGTGATATGGTAGAGGGCCGCTGAAGGAAGGCCATGGGGCATCTAGGGGTCTGCGGAGGTTGGATATCGAAGAGTTCGGCTGGATTTGC